AGGCAGCAGCCCCCACTGCCAAACTGCTGCAGTGGGTAGAGGTTGCAGGGGCCACTCCAGGTTAGGACTGCCCTGCTGGCACAAGGGGTAGTTGTCACCAGATACCAAGTGGCCAGACCTTAGAAGCTCCTGAGGACAACTAGCCCTGAGCTGCTCACCAGAGCAGATTTTTATACTGTTGGAGCCAGCGCAGGTGTTGGCCCCAGGCTCTAGCTCCTCCTGGCTGCAGTTCCATCAGGGTTATTTTGCCCCAAGTGGCACAACTTGTCCCACATCAAAGTTCATCTCCAGGTATGTGTGCTGAGGCAAAAATCCCCATCTCAAATTTGTGCTGCTCCTATTTGAGCTGCTGCAGAGGCGCATGTCTGCATGTGTGGATGCGCCCATAATGTATATGATTCTGAACAGGGTAGGTAGTCCCTTTTTTGCCTACTCTAGGACAACACCTTTGAATTCATTAGGAACACATACACAAATGAACAAAATTTGGCCACAAACTATGAAAAATCAAAGATCCAAGATTCTAAAGGCACAAAACTAGTTTTTGACTGCTAAATAAGTTTCCCTCTAAATTTTTCAGGTGCTTATTACATCTAACTCAGTATTGATATACATCTGATAACTATATGCAGTATAAACTACACAGTTTTAAAGTAAAGAGCATGAATTGTACATTTTCTCCTTGCTCTTCTTGGCCACGTCAAGACAAGTGTGGCCATGCGGTGACATGTCTGCAGCATCACATACCACACATTCAGGTGTTCTCCGCAGTGCAAGGGAGCAGTGCACAGGTGGTTTGACCCCTGGATATCCAGGGGTCAGAAAAACCTGTGGAGAATAAAAGCAGAGCAGCACACACCTGGGCAGCGTTTGCCGCTCAGAAGTGGAGCCAGGCTGCCTGGAGCTGCACAGCGACTGCCAGCCAGGCTCCATGTAGCAGAATCACTGCAGCTGCAGCCCCAGGAGGCCATCAGAACCCCAGGTAAGGTGGTTGGGGCCAGCCCAGTGTTGTGTGCCACAGCATGCCAGCACTGGCATTCCCCGGGGACAACTAGCCAGGCACAAGGTGCACGGTGGCTAGTTGTCCCCAGGGACCCAAATGGCCATGCCATGTGTTGACATGGCCCTTGATCTTAAATAAATCCTCTTAAACATGATAGAAGCTGAATGTTCTTGAATTAACTTGTGAAATGGCTTCTGCCCATGAAACCTACCTGAGCAAATTGCTTGTGTTATTATAATGTCAACCTTGAAGTAAATGGTTAGGCAAATTTCTTTTAGCATGCCGGAGGTGACAGCTTTTAGGATTTCAAAAAACTAACTAATCTGAAAGAGCTAACTAATCTCAGGATTTTATTACATGAAAGCCTTTCTTTTCATAAAGATCAGCTCCTCTGCATTCCTCTCAAAGTAGACTGAGCTAAGCAGACAATTCTAGCTGTTTGTAGTAAGACTTTAAAAAAATCTTTTAAAATAATGTTTAGTTT